TGACAGAAACTGCTCTTTTTCAAGGACAGCTGTGCCAGAGCTTGTGACTGACCCAAGGTCACATCAGCAGGTGCAAGTGGAGGAGTGGGGAATCAAACCCAGTTCTCCCAGATTAGAGTCCGCACACTTAACCACTACACCAAACTGGCTCAAACTGGCAATATGGTGATTTCTCTGAGGATATATAGGAGAGCTTCTGTGGGGTGGTGTACCATCTGGTCATAAGTTTCAGATTTTGTAGACGTATTGAGAATACTGTAGAGTTGATTCCTTTAGTAGACCAAAAATCATTCCAAAAATCATCAGTAAGATTGGTGATACAATCTCCCTGCCAGGAAGACTGATAAGGTAGCGATTTGGTGCAAGTAGTGTTAATCAGGAGTGTATATAAAGCAGATATTATCCCTGTATTCCTGGTAGTAAAGGAATGTAGAATTACTTCTAGTTCTGTATGGGGTTTAGTTAAGATGTTAGTAATATTGATTTGATTGAACAGATGACTCAATTGCAAATTAAAAAACCAAGGGATAGGATGATCTATTTTTTTAATCTCTTTCAGTTTTGCTCCCTGCAAAACGTCCTATTGTTAATGGGATTGCTCAGGTCTTACAAACTGAGGGCCGTGGCTTCCTTGACTGAGCAATCCATCTCATGTTGTCTCTCCCACTCTTCCTGCTACATGCAACTTTTTCTAGCATTACCATTTTTCCCAGTGACTTGTACTTTGGTCACATAATGAGAAGACAATAGCCTCAGTGTAGTCATTTAGCTTCTAGGGAGACTTTAGGCTTGGTTTGATCTAGAACCCAGTTGTCTTTTTGGTGGTACACAGAACTCTTCCATCACCACATTTCAAATGAGTCAACTTTCTTCCTGCCAGTTTTCTTCCTTGTCCAACTTTCAGACCCATCCTTAGACTCTGGAGCAGCTATGTTGGTCTGAAGCAATAGAACAAAGTTGGGAGTCCAGGGGCACCTTTAAGACCAACGAACTTTAATTCTGGGTATAAGCTTTCATGTGCATGCACACTTCTGAAGAAGTGGATCTGAAGAAGTGTGTTTGCACACGGAAGCTTATACTTAAACTCTGTTGGTCTTAAAGGTGGCACTGGACTCAAATTTAGTTCTACACCCATACATAGTAATTGGGAGTAATATAGCTGGACTATAGTTATTATTCTTTGGGGTAAAGGTAAAGCTTAAAACCTTTGCATGTCAGAGAGGACCTGCTTCTGTAGTATATTTTTTGTCCTGCCTTTTCTCTGAGGAGCTCAGGACAGCATGCATATTTTTCCTCTTTATTACAAGGTTGTGGAATAGGCTGGCTGAGACCGCAAAATGGTCCAAGTAACACTGAGGGCTGCCAGAGAGGGAATGGTCTTTATTTTAACTTGCGCTACTGATGCGCACTGTGAAAATGTGGTGGTAGGTATTCCTTTAAATTACCTTTCCATTGCCACCATTTGAAATAGTTGTGGCTGAGTGGTTAAGGCGAACAACTAGAAATCCATTGGAAATCCATTGGGGTCTCCCCACACTGGTTTGAATCCTGCTGACTACAATGCAGACTTCAAAATCTGAATCTGAAGTTTATCCATTTTAGGGAGGGGCTGCAGCTCAGTGGAAGAGGCTCTGCTTTGCGTGCAGAAGGTCCCAGGTTCAATCCCTGCCATTTCCAGCTAAAAAGGACTAGGCAGCAGGTGATGTGAAAGACCTCTGCCTGAAACCATGGAGAGCCACTGCCAGTCCGAGTAGATAATAGTTACCTTGATGGGCTGATTCAGTATAAGGCAGCTTCATGTATGACCATTCACCCTTGAGGGTAAAATGTACTTTTTATACTGTGGTAGCTCTGAGCTGCAGACTGTGGAAGGTCGTAGTTCAGCAGTTCGAGACCCAAGTGTGCCGCATGATGGAGTGAGCTCCCGTCTCTACTTCCAGCTCCTGCCAACCTAGTAGTTCGAAAGCAAGAAATTGCAAGTAGATACATAGGTACCACTTCGGTGGGAAGGTAACAGCGTTCCGTGCACCTTGGTGTTTAGTCATGCCGGCCACATGACCACGGAAACGTCTTCGGACAGCGCTGGCTCTTCGGCTTGGAAACGGAGATGAGCACTGCAACCCTAGAGTCGGACTCGACTGGCTTACGAGCAAGGGAACCTTTACCTAGCTTGACACTGAGACAGGAATTTTAAGAAGTCTTTATTAAAGAGCCTGGAAGCCTACATATTTTGTACCATTATTATGCTTGCAGATGATAAACATCCCCTAACTTGAGTGGGGTTTCTTTTTAATTCACAGTTTATTAATTTCTATAGCGAACAATAATAAAAATATTAATCTTATTTTCATACAGTCTTATTATTCACCCCCTTTATTAATAGAAAGTGTTCTCCGGTTTATCCATTAACTCCTATTTTTTGTTGTTGTTCAGTCGCACAGTCGAGTCCGACTCTTTGCGACCCCATGGACCAGATCATGCCTAACTACTAAACAAGGATTACTTCCTATTCTGAAATCATATTGTCTTGTACCACCCGTTATGTAATTCCATTTAGTTTCCTAAATTCTTCATTCCATACTCATATTAGTTACAATACATATATTTACGTAACATTGGATATTCTTTGGTTAACCAAGGGTTTTTTAAAAAAAACAAACGAACTTAAAACATTATTTAAAAATTAAAACTGTTTATGTCTTATCTTTGACAACGTCCCAAACATGATTTGTCTACACAGTCACCAGTATTTCATGGCAGAATGGGGGTAGAGCAGGATATAAATTAAAGTCTGGGAAGGTGGAATGCTGGCTTTCTTTCCTTTTAGTTGTCCTTTTATTTTCTCTGCCTGGTGCATGGAAAACAAAATGCAAAGCAGTTCTCATGCTTGCAGTTTAACTTGGTGGTTTTATTGCCTTTAATATAATACCTGGTAGCAGAAACATTTAAAATTCTATGTATTTTGCTAAAAGCAGCACTTAGACAATCCCACGATACGAAATTATGTGCAGGCAAAAGGAACGGCTCAGGGGTTCAGTGGGGAGCACACAGGAAGTCATTGTGATTGCCTAGGGATTGAAGGCCCAGCCTTCCGCGATATAAACCCCATTCGCAGATAAAATTGGACGGCTGCCCCTTTAACGTCTGGGAGGCTCTAGAGACAGAAGACTAGAGTGACACACCACTCTGAACTTCCGGGACAATGGAAAGCCGCCACTGACTACCATTTTCTATGGGAACAGAGTGTTGTCGCTCTAGTGCTTCTGTTCTTTGCATTGCGATTTACAATGGGAAAGCCACTCAGATTTTATACCCGGAAAAGCTATTAATGACTGTGATGTGTATGTACTCTATATTTCTATCTCTAGGGTCTGATGGCCGCCGCCTTTTCTCCCTCTCTATTGGTGTTCTTAGCTTAGAGAGCCAGTAAAAAGAGACCTTTCAGCCTCATAGAGGTAGTGGGGGAAGCTGAGATTTTAACATGCACAGTCAAAATTGTATAATCCTGGTCAAAATTGTTTTCCTCTCCGTGATATTTGCACAGATTATAGCAGCTTCGTTATAGAGACGCCAAGGTCTCTACTCACAGAAGAATGATCATGGGACTAATTGCAACGCCTCGCAATTAGCTCCCAGACATTCAGGGTACCGCGTCATTCTGGCGCTTCTGTATCGATACGGTAGCTGTCCGATAACTGCTTCACATACCAACATCTCCATTTCTTAATTAGTCGTACTCGGTTACCAACTCAAAGAAATGAGAGGACGCCAGGGTAGGGATGCCAGCCTCCAGGTGGAACCTGGGGATCCTCAGGAATTAAATACATAATAAATTAAATTAATAAATAAATTACACCTCATCTCCAGACTACAGAGATCAGTTCTCCTAGAGAAAAACGGATGCTTTGGAGGGTGGACTCTGTGGCATTGCACCTCACTGAGTTCCCTGTCCTCCTCTGGTTCCATCCCCAAATCTCCCTCCGGGATCGGGCAACCCTTCCCCCCCCCCCCCCCAGTGGTCAGGGGGAACCAGGGTCCGAGACTCCTCTGCCGGCCCGCATATGGCGTCTGCCATCGAAAAGCCGGAAGTAACGACAATCTCTTATTACCCGCACGTATATAAGCGGCTTCCTTGGCGGTTTCCTTTCCCTTTATCCCACTGATCTTACGTCCTTCCTTACTCTATGATCTAGGAAACTGCGGTCATGGATGCGGGGCGGGCGGAAGTTGGTAAACCCCGGAGGAGGAGGGGGGACGGAAATTGCGGAATCTCGGCTTCCGCTTCCGCCTTGCGGAGGGACCGCCCGGCGCCGCTGTTGCTGCCGCTTCTGCCCCGAGGGCCGAGGGGGGCCCGGAGCCTCCCGTGGAGCCATAGAGGCGCCGTGGGGTAGAGTGTCTCTCTGTGGGCCCAGGTTTCGCTGCTGTCTCGCCAGGGAGACCGGCAGCCGCGGGCGGGGTCTTCTCGGAGACCGGCTTAGGCCGAGATTCTCGGAGGCGGGGGGCAGACTTAAAAACGGGGGTGGGAAGCCCTATTTCGTCGCCTTTGCCTGCACTCCCACCCGGACATTACGCGACCCCTCCCGGCCGCCTTTCCTCCCAGAAGTAGGGTAGCCTCTGGAGTGACCTTTGACCCTCCGCCTCGCCCATGCGATGACTCCTGACCTCCCTGCCGGCGTGACCTTTGAACCCCACCCCAAACCGCTCAGCTGCAGTCCGTAGAGGATCTCAGCCCTCCTCCTAGTCACCAACAGCGGCTCCGTCCGTCCTCCCCTTTCTGCAGCTCTTTGGCTGCTCCCTTCGTCAAGGAAGCATTTTGCAGCCCAGCCTTCTGTACCGAAACTGTCACGATTTCCCCCATCTTTTTAAAAAAGACGGTCTCCGGCTATGCCCCCTGGCTGGGGGAAGTTGCAAAACCCCACTCTGGACCCAGGGGACTTATGCAGCTGCCTGCCTGAAGCCTGAACCCTGCCAGGGCCCACAAGAGAGACAGTAACGGGGATCCTTCTCCCAGGTGAGTGGTTGCTGTGTCAGTTAATATCGGGGGAAAGGGTGGAGGGGGGGGGTTAAGTCAAGCCAGGCAGGCTGTGTTTCAAAGAATTAGCAGAGAGACTAACTTGGGGATCCAGCTTTGGTGCTTGTCAGACTTACCTTTCTGGGCCAGATTCCGAAAGATCAGATAAGGGAGCAGGTGTGTCCTGTAGGAGGGAGGGACTCCTTGATTTCCATGGAATAAGGCTGACGTTGGGCATGCCAGGCAAGTTATATTGGTGGCAGTTGGGGGGTGGGGTGGAGAAAGGGCTCCAGTAGCTCTGGATTAAAATAGAAGTCTTAACAGCTGTGGATTTACTGCATCCTGCAAGTTGATAGTTGGTGTTTAGTTTGGGGTGGGGTTGAGGGAGATGATTAAAGTGCGTAGAGAGAGCACTTTGATAATTCAGTAAAATAGTTCGGCGGAATGCTGGGAGGGAGTAAAAGGAAGTAATTTTTCATGGTGAGAATTGGCTGCCACTTGATGTGGCAACAGCATCTACCTTAGACAGATTTGTAGAGGGAAAGTCTACCAAGCTATTAGCCAAGAGAGCTGTTAGCAAAGGAACCTCTGAATCAGAGGTAGTTATACTGGCTCTGGTTGAACAAGTGTGGTTGATAATAAATGGGGGAAGGTTATCTCCATGATACTTTCCCAGGGGCTACATGGCTGTTCTCTCTTGGAGATGGTGCGCTAGGCTGGATGGGTTTTCTTTATCTGATCCAGCAAGGCAGTTTAAGCAATTTCAGTGAGAGATGTCACAACTTGCTCCCCTTAGAGCTTTTCTTTCTAGATCTTTGTTACACAGTCCCTCTGTTCTTCAATTGCTTATTCCTAGTCCAAATAAGTTTATACCTCTGTATACCATTTGACTCACATTCTTTCCACATCCTGAAAAGGGGAGAAAAAATGTTGCTGCTTGACATTGGGCTTTGAGTTTTCAAATAGTGGCAAATGGGGAGAAGTGAAGTTTTTTACTATTTGAATTCTGAAACGCAGTGCCAGGGTTTCTGCCTGACTGGGAAATCTACTTGTATGCCTTCCGAACATCATATTGTACATGGAATCCTGGTGCTACTGTGGTTGATTGTTCTGAGGGTGAAAGACTACATATAATCAAGGAGAGGAAGATCTCTGGAATTTGGCTAGTGAAGTAGAATGGGAGCAAAATGTTTTGGGTGGGAAATATTTTCACATTCTAGTGATAGGAAAACATCATTTGAGAAGCCATGTGGATGGGCTGAATGCAGAAATTATGCTTGGAGGCACTCTGGAATCAATTCTAATCTCTGTCTTTGAGTAAAGATAATGGCTCACGTCTTTTCTAGTGGTTCTCCCCAAAGCTGAGGACTTGGAAAATGTTCTTTGGCTCTAGGAGCCAGACTAATTTTTCAGTCTTTAGAGTTTTGTATTTTTATGACCATGTTTTCTAATACAAGCTGCCACGATGAACTTTCTAGACACCATAGCAAACTGGTGCCTGGGATTTTTCAAGCCTTACTATTGCTGCAAGAGCTAGGAACTTCTGCTGCTTTTTAAGGGGAGTTCTTGGAAGCCTGCACATACTTCCAGATTTTGTGATGTGCGGTCTGCTTGAGGCATTTGGTTTTGTGAGCCCCCAACGCCCTATGCTGTTGCCTAACTTTCCTTGGATCAGTGTGGTTTGTATGTGGTCTCCATAGCTGTTTACATACAAGGTGGGAAAGCGAATTGGCCATGTGTATCTTAACTGTCTCCTATTTGAGAAGAATTAACCACAGACCCCATGTTAAAGTTTGCCTCCTCTGCATTAAGTATCTTGGCTGGGAATGAAATAGCGGGGCTGCTTGTCATTGCAACAAATGCACCTGGGCAGTTTTGTTCTTGCTAGAAAACTCGCAAATCACTCCTTTGATATGTGCATTCCGCTTTTCACAAGAATGCAGACCCAGGACTTCCTGGGATGCACTCCCATCCTGCTGCATCACCAGTTGTGTGGAGTGGAAGTGCTGAGCTAGAGAGGAGGGACAGCAGTCCCTAGAACAAAACAGAGGGTAAAAACCTAATGGCAGAGCAACTTCTGGTTGGCCCTGGGAGAATGTGTTTCTCATACGTATTTATGATAATATAATTCCAGGCTGGGACCGCGGTGGCTCAGAGGTTAAGATGCTGAGCTGCAGACTGGAAGGTCTGTAGTTCAGCAGTTCGAGACCCTAGTGCCGCATGACAGAGTGAGCTCCCATCTCTGGTCCCAGCTCCTGCCAACCTAGCAGTTCAAAAGCAAGAAATTGCAAGTAGATAAAGGTACCACTTCGGTGGGAAGGTAACAGCGTTCCGTGCGCCTTGGCGTCTAGTCATGCCGGCTACATGACCATGGAAACGTCTTTGGACAGCGCTGGCTCTTCGGCTTGGAAACGGAGATGAGCACCACACCCTAAAGTTGGATTCGACTGGCTTTCGAGCAAGGGGAAACCTTTACCTTAATTCCAGGCTGACTTCTTTTAAGGAATACCCAGCAGTGGTTCAACCACGTGGGGAGAGTGGCAACTTGCTTAAGGCTTCCCAGTGAGTTCTATAGCTGAGCTAGGGTTTAATTTGGGGGGTTTTGTGTGCAAACCCAGCAGTCTAGCTGCTGCACCCACACTGCCTTAGCACAAATTGCACTGCTGCAATTGATAAGGATTGACAGCAGGGTGCAATGCTAGGAAAGTTCAAAGTACACGTGTCCCTTCTGAGACTCAGTCTGCAAATTCTTTCTGTTTATTCCCACCTCCCTTTGTTTCGGGATCTAGATTGCATGCTCCTCGGGCAGGGATTTGTCATTCTTCTCTGCCTCGGGCAGGGATTAGTCATTCTTCTCTGTGGAGCACCGTGCACGTTGATGGTACTGTTTTTTTTTTTTTTTAAGAAAGCACAACTAATTGGCGAGCCATCACCCGTGTACTTTCACCTTTCCCTTTTCAGGTTTGAGGGCTAGAAGCTTTAAAATGGAATGCTGAGGTGGCAGGAATGTTGAGTCCCATGCCTAGTGCTAACTTCCTTTGCTTATGTGGCAGAATGCACAACACTGTAACCACCGTCAGCGCAGTTCAGTTCTGCCACAAGGAGAATCAAACTCTCTCTTTCGTGCGTGGTATTGCACCAGGGGAGAGGAAGCGATCTGGGTCAGTGGTGGGCAGTGATGCCAAGGGGGAATAGGGTGGCGAGGTGCAACAAAGCCGCTGAGCCTCTTGCAAATGCTCTGCCTGCTTTCCTGTGTAAGGCCACATTCACGAGTCCTAAGAACTTGCTATTTAATGTGAATGAATGAATTGATTATCACAGGCATCGTCCAGCACATTTAAAAATGCTACGTTTGCGAGTCCTCACAGGGACTGTGTCTACATCAGGTGCCAGATTCTGCACATACTTCCACAGAAATCTTCTGATGGGTTCCTCTGGCTCAGTAGTGACTACTGTGGACGCACCTGAAAGCACAACTAATTGGCGAGCCATCACCCGTGTACTTTCACCTTTCCCTTTTTAGGTTTGAGGGCTAGAAGCTTTAAAATGGAATGCTGAGGTGGCAGGAATGTTGGGTCCCATGCCTAGTGCTAACTTCACCGTCAGCGCAGTTCAGTTCTGCCACAAGGAGAATCAAACTCTCTCTTTCGTGCGTGGTATTGCACCAGGGGAGAGGAAGCGATCTGGGTCAGTGGTGGGCAGTGATGCCAAGGGGGAATAGGGTGGCGAGGTGCAACAAAGCCGCTGAGCCTCTTGCAAATGCTCTGCCTGCTTTCCTGTGTAAGGCCACATTCACGAGTCCTAAGAACTTGCTATTTAATGTGAATGAATGAATTGATTATCACAGGCATCGTCCAGCACATTTAAAAATGCTACGTTTGCGAGTCCTCACAGGGACTGTGTCTACATCAGGTGCCAGATTCTGCACATACTTCCACAGAAATCTTCTGATGGGTTCCTCTGGCTCAGTAGTGACTACTGTGGACGCACCTTTCCAAAGGTCTTTCCTCGTGCCTGCCACCACAGACGTAGAGGCTTGAACTCTGGACCTTCTGCGTGAAAAGTACGCCCTCCACTGCAGAGGTGTGGCTCTTACACAGCTTGTGTGTGAGCAAACTCAAGGAGCGTGACCCCTGGCTAGGTAGTGGGTGGACAGGACTGAGACCAACAAAAGTCTCAGGGAGCGCAGCTGCAGCCTGCCGGCTTGCTGATTCACAAGTGTGGAGTCTAATTGGACTGGAATCCCCACTGTCTGCTGCGAAGGGGGTGTTCAGTGATCCTGGCGTTGTGCCATCTTTCTCGACTGAGCAGTGGATTTATTCTTCCCTCAAATCCAAATGTTTTGGGGGTTTTTTTAATCCTGGAACATTTAATCAAGCGAACTTGTTTGTTGTCATCCACTGTCCTCAAACATTTGCGTGGCTTATTGTCTGTTCAAACATAAGACTTTGTGCACATGCGGGGTGGGGGCTCTATTTCAAAGGCTTTGTTTTTTTTAGCTAATCATTTTTGCCCTCTTTCCAGCTCCTGCTGTAGGTCCGTGGGACGTGCAAGAGGTAGGGAAGGGCAGGGAGAAGATTAGATAAGAACAGATCAGGGTGAAAGAATGTCCTGGGGCTTTTTCAACGGCTTTCTCCTTTTGGGCATAGCCGGCACTGTCCTTGAAAGCTGGTGGGTGGGAATTGCGAAGGAAGGAGAGCTGGGAACTCTTGGAAGGACCAGTTCTGCCGTTTTAGACAGAGATGGGGCTGTGGTGTTGCGACAAAGAGAAGAAGCTGCAGTCCTGGAGATTTCCTTGAGGGCCTTGCCACAAACTCGCTCGGTAACTTCAGACAGGCTGTTCGTGGTTCACCCTCGCCACCCTGCCATTCCCGTTGTGCTTTTGAAAAGGAATTAGGCAAACTCATGGCGGATAGGCCCACCAAAAGCTATTAGTTATGGTGGCCAAGCAGAACTTTTGTGTTTAGAGTGTCGCTGTGAACCCCAGCTGCGGGGGAGCATCAGTACAGGACGCTTTGACCCCACCCGTACTTTGCTTTTAAGCCTTCTGCAGGGTGTGAAGGGGGGAGGGGTCTCTGGGTGGCCGCCTTGGAGGTAGGGTGCTGGGCTAGACGGTCTGATCCAGCAGAGCTTTCCTTGTGTTTCACGATCATAGGTGGCCTCAGTAGTCAGACCTCATCGGAAGTTAATGTTGGGTAACTTGCTCTCCTCTCAGTACTGATGGGCATTGAGCCTTTAAAAAAAATAAATAATAAAAGCTGTTTTGGTGAACTGTTATCATTGCATTTTCTTGCTTCTCTACCCGGCCTGGATAAATTATTTTATACCTGAGGGGGAAATTTTTCCTTTCCAGACCCTTTTCTTTTTTCAAAGGTACTGTCTTATGCAAATCAGTTAAAATGAAACGTGACTCAGCAGCACAGGGAGTTACATTTGCTGCCTTGACTTCTCTACCCTCTTGATCATAAGGGGTGCATTCCAGGAAGTAAGTTCCGTTTAAATCACTGACGCTTACTTTGCTTTTAGTCTTTTTAGGGCGAAAGTGCACAGTAGCTCCTTTGGTGCCGCTACGTCTTCTGCAGTGGTTTCCAGGGTCTTACACTGAAAATTCTACTGTCAGAAGCGGTATTGAGAAATCCAGAAAGGGGTGGAAGGAAGAAGGTTTCCCAAAACTGGCTGCTGTGACTCATTACTTAGAAATCTCAGCTTCCTTCCTGTTTTGCACTTAAGGATGTCAAAGGGTCAGGCTCCAGGATGCAGAGGATGAGTTTGAGACAGAAATCATGGCCAATGTCCTCTCAGCTGTGGAGTCTTGTGAGCAAGAATTCTACTTTGTGAGCTACTGAGCCAGTTTGGTGTAGTGGTTAAGTGCACGGACTCTAATCTGGGAGAACTGGGTTTGATTCCCCACTCCTCCACTTGCACCTGGCTGGATGACCTTGGGCAAGCCGTAGTTCTGATAAGAGCTGTTCTTGAAAAAGAGCAGTTTCTGTCAAGAGCTCTCTCAGCCCCACCTACCTCACAGGGTGTCTGTTGTGGGGAGGGGAAGGGAAAGGAGTTTGTAAGCCGCTCTGAGACTCCAAGTGAAGGGCGGGGTATAAATCCAATCTCTTCTCTTCTTCTTCTTCTACTGGCACTAAAGTGGTGAGCGAGTGATTTCGCTGCTGCATAAATTAGTTTGCTCTGGAGCCCTCCTTAGTCCTCCTGAGTGAAGACAAAAGAGTGTGAGCCAGAGGCTAAAAAAACTGTGAGCTAGCTCACACTAACTCAGTTTAGAGGGAACATTGAGGTTCATGGCTGCATGCCTTCTGTTCTAATCTCCCAGACGCTTCTTCCGCGCTCGAAAATCTGGGAGCTTTGACTCCTTTCCTTCTCTGCTCTGATCCGGACCCTGAAGTCTTCTTGAGCACTCTATCCAGGTCTCAAGCTTTCGACTGGTCACGGTTACTTAATGATGAAAGGTGTTCTGTGTTCTCAGAGGCACTGTGCTCTCCATTTAGTGTGTTGGCATCAAGAGATGGTTCCGTCTGTGCCTGATAACAGGCAAGCTAGATTTCAGTCCAGTAGCATCTTAGAGACCGACAAGATTTTTAGGGTATAAGCAGAAGAAGAAGAGGAAATTGGATTTATACCCTGCCCTTCACTACCAGAGCGGCTTACAATCGCCTTCCCCTCCACAGCAGACACCATGTGAGGTAGGCGGGGGTGAGAGAGCTCTTTCGAGGACTGCTCGCGAGAGAACAGCTCTGAAAGAACGTGTGACTGACCCAAGGTCACGCCAGCAGCTGCATGTGGAGGAGAGGGGAGTCAAACTCGGTTCTCCCAGATTAGAATCCGCGCTCCTAACCACTACAACCAAACCGGTATCTAACAAAGGGAGATCTGACTCTCAAAAGCTTATACCTGAAAATCTTGTTGGTCCCTAAGGTGCTATTGGACTGGAATTTAGCTGGCCTCCTGGTGGGCCAACACAGCTACCCTCTAATATAGGCAAGCGTGCAGAGTCCAGAGTCTCAGTGTCAGTGCTGATCAGTGCTGCCAGAGTTAAGAATAGAAGCCAGATCTGATGGTGTAGCCATGAAGGTGACTGGCCCACTCACCCCAAGCTGGAGTCACTCCGTGTTCCACTTGGTGGAGATAGAACGGGACCAGATCTGCATCTCCTCTAGGGCGCACTGCGGGGGGGGGGGGGGGAGTGGGCACAGCCACTCCAATTGTGGCTTCAGCATGGCAGAGCAACCTCGTCTGCAGCAGTCAAGCAGAGTGGAGCATCTGCCTAGTGCCGCACCGCTGTGTCTCCGGTCCGCCTATATGGGTTTTCCTTTGTACCCCCCTCCCAGCCCATGAGACCTTGCAGTGAGGATACACCAACTTGGAGCTTACCAGCTGCTGTCCTTTGTACAGTTTATATCTCCGGTTCCTGGCATTACGTTTTATGGCACACATGGTCCGGCCCGACAAAGTGACGTTTATGTCAGATCTGGCCCTCATAACAAATGAGTTCGACGCCTCTGCCTTAGAGGCACAGAATTCAGGATCTGGAGGGTCTCGGCTGAGTCCCTGGCTTCGTGGCGAAGCATGTGCTCTGTGTGAAGAAGGTTTCAGGTACCCAGATCAGTCTCCAGCCTCATCTGTTAAAAGGATTTCTGGGGAAGAACATGGCCCAAGACCCTGGAGCACAGCTGCCCGTCAGAACAGGCATGGGCCAGTAGCCTGATTCCGCTTGAGGCATCTTTATACATTCAGCTTCTGTTTCATTGCTTTTAAAGTTTCCTAGTCCTTAAGGCTCTGCAGACGTTACTGGTATGTTGAGTGACTTTTGGTGAATCCTCAATAAAAGGAGGGTGGGATTTCCAGTGGTCTTAGGGGCGTGTGGCAAGGCTGCCCTGGAAAATACTGCCCTCTTCCTGAATGAGTTACGGAGAATAAGTAAACTTATGCGACCGGCATATTTGGTTGGCAGAGTTCACCCGGCCAGTGGAAATCCCACATGGCTTTCTTTTCAGTAGCTTTGGCACAAAATTTAAGGTTTTCCCAGTGAGGAAACTGGATTTCAGCTGACTTGCTTAGTCTTGGATGAAGCTGGCTCTTATGAGGTGCTGCCAATGCAAATATTTTAATATTCCCTCCATATATTTTGGATGGCAGCTTATTGGAAACAAGGGTGGGGTTTTTTTTGGGGGGGGCGGTTGTTCCCAGAATTAAAAAAAAATGAAGCATTAGGACCCGGTTTAAATCAGCTTCAACCAGGGGTGTGGAAAGGGATGATTTCTTCAACCGCCGTTTAAGATTGCCCACCTTCTTGTCTTCCAGGTGCATTTCGGAATGCCTTCCATGCCCAGGTTGCCACCGGGGGAGTGTGGAGCACACTAGGGTGGCACGTGGACAGCTGCCGTGGCCTCCCCCCTCTGGGAACGTTGGGATCTGTTCCATCGGGATACAGGGGACACGTCCATCTTAAGGGATTCTTGACTTTTGCCTGGGGCAAGCCCCCTTGCCCAGTTCAGCCAATCCCGTCTCAGAGCCGTCGACAGGGGGAGTGGTGGGCTGTGCTCCCCACTGTCTGTGCGAACGGCTGCCACCATGTCGACTTCCTCTTTGCGCCGTCAGATGAAGAACATTGTGCACAACTATTCGGAGGCGGAGATCAAGGTGCGAGAGGCCACCTCGAATGACCCCTGGGGCCCATCCAGCTCCCTCATGTCCGAAATTGCTGATCTCACCTACAACGTGGTGGCCTTCTCTGAAATCATGAGCATGATCTGGAAGCGTCTCAATGACCACGGCAAGAACTGGCGCCACGTCTACAAGGTAACACGCGTGCGGTCACAGCCTTTATCACCAGCTCTGAGCCCTTAGATCTAGGGTTGGCAACCTCTTATTGTTAAAAGAGCCAAACTCTGTCTGAATTCAGAGCACGAGGTCAACAAAGAGCCATTGTAAGAGAGCCCGACAGCATGACTGAAAATACCGAATTTAACATTACTGATCGTTTACAGGCCGATTAATAGTCTATAAAGTTTCTGCAGCCCAAAACACTGGCTGTTGCGAGTCCTTTTCTAGGAAGCACCACATGTGAGTTCTCACAATCAATATACGCAGGAGCCCCCTGCGTGGTTGTTTTCATATGCTGGCATAAATATGCGCATGGTTCACACTTGGAGTTGCACTTGGATTACCGACATCTCTTCACCTCTCTCATTCCCATCTCTGTAAAGCATCTCTAAAAAAAAGGGTAAAGGTCTAAGAAGCCCTTTATCCTGCCTGTACTTCATTTTGAAAACTGATTAGTCTAGCATCCCACCTATCCCTTTCTTTGCTTAAAGATTTCACGTTCGCTTTGAAAGAGTCATATTAGGTTCTGAACAGAGCCACGTTGGGGCTTCAGAGCCTTAAGGTTACTGGCCCCTGTGCTAGAACGTTATTCCTCTACTGGTTGCCTGCAGGGCTAGGGAAGAAATGTAGCGCAGTGGGGAAGCCAGTGCTTTGTCTACGTGGGTCCCTGGTATATGTGGCTAAAGGGTCTCTGGCAGAAGGGATGGGGAAAGGCCGTGGGAGTCCCTTACAGAACTGGCCGAGATGGGTCAGAATTCTGACTCGGGGTAAGACAGTGCCTTAAATGTACCTGGTAGGGTAGAGCTTTCTCCCAGTTAGAGAAGCCATGCTCGATTACTCCTACAAGACCGTGCATCAGATTAACTCTTTTTCTTTGTATGTGTAAAAAGCATTTGTTCTGAAACAAAGCACTTGGGCTCTAGATGCAGCCCATGTGCCTAATACCAAGCGTCTTAGAAGAGGCATGTGGAGCTGCGGAAACCTTTTAGAAGAGGCATTCCTTCCTGTGTGAAAGAAGAGGAGAATGCCACTGTGGCAGCAAATTGTGAGGTTTCAGTTGGTGATTGGATCACTTGATCAGCACCATGCTGGGTCCTGCTCCACTCTGTGTGACCAAAGGGTTCTTAGCTCCTGCATAGTTCCCAGATCCTCAGCATGAGAGAGAGACGACCCCTCATCTCATCTTCTGTTGTTCATTTAAGCCCATTTTGAATGTCTGAAGCCTTCTTACACTGAGCAGGGCTTGTTCCGTCCAGCTCAGCATTGTCTTAACTGGCAACGGCTTTCCAGATGTGTCTTACAGGGTTCCATTTTGCTACTGATGTGCTTTAAATATGTTTGCAAAATTTTGGAGTTGGGTGTCCATAACTAAGCCTCTGGAAGCAACTATCTCTGCTCTTGGCTATTTGCCATACAGAAATGTATGTGGGAGAATCAGCAGAAATTATGTGGTTGGCAGGGCTGATGGGACTGAATGGCAGTTTGCTGCCAACCTTTGATGGAGTCACATTATCTTTTTGAGGTTTTGTTAAAAGTAGAGAGGTAACATTTCTGGAGATTTTTAGGCCATAGAAAAGAACCCCCCCCCCCAAAAAAAAATGTTTGGGGAAACGAATAGTCATGTTGGGAAAAGTTAAAATATATGCAATACTTACTTCCCTTTCAAACCTAAGCTTCTTTTAATTATTGAACAACATAAAATGCATCATTTAATCAGCATATAAAATTGTACTATTGGCATATTTATTGAATTTAAATGTATAGAATTCTTCATATTTTTTGGTAAGAAAAACAGCAAGTATACCCAGCACTTGAGAAGGTGTCATAAAATGATGCATGTTATGTATCTTTCGTTTTTGTCATCTGACAGGTAGGGAAAAATAAAATTTGAAGGTGGAAAACAAATTCTGTAGTAAACAGAACGAAGTATTATTTGGACGGAAACTTCTCATAGAGTCGCAATAGGTAGAGTTGCTAGGGTGTTTGGATATCAAGCTAAACTTTATAACTTTGAAGGCACTAAACTTTTTAACATTATAGTATGTTCATTGTTGCTAAAATTATTTACAATTAAACAAAGTAAATCTTGAAAGTATTATATATGTCTACAGTGTGCCCGGGGGGTGGGGGGTTGGTGCCCTCCCAAATTCCCCAATTTTCCAGTCCTCTGAGTTTTTCATGCTGCACATTTTGAGTGTGAAAAACCTTAAGCATTTCGCTCAGTCTAAAAGAGAGAATATTTTATAGGAGTTCTTTTTCATCTCCCCCAAGTTTTCTGTCAGAAGATTTGAAAAAAGGCCTGGGGGGAGGACTGGGTATTTTCCTGGGCCTTCACATCTCTAGTTAAGAGGTTGGGTGCCTTGTTGGATCCAGTTCTTTGGTCTGAAGAACAGGTGGGAGTGATAAGAACACTTTATCTAATGCAGGGATTGGCCTCTGATCTAGACTTGGCTGACCTAGCCATGCTGAACCATGCTATGGTAATTTTCCCTGGACTGTGCAGGGTCCCGCCCTTGAAGACAGTCTGGAAACTTTTGAGGGTGCTGTTTGTTTGCTGTCCTACTCCAGCTTCCCGAACGCTGCATCCCGGTCTACCTGCCTTCACGTAGTAGGCCCCCACTCAAAGAACTTGTGGATTTCTGTAATACGTCTTTCTCCCCATGAGAACCTGTAAAGTCTCGGCTACTCCATTCTGGATGGGGGAAGACAATCTCGTTTTCTTCTTTCTGTCGCCTCCAGGCCATGACTCTGATGGAGTACCTGATCAAGACTGGCTCAGAGCGGGTGGCACAGCAGTGCAAAGAGAACATCTACGCCATCCAGACACTAAAGGATTTCCAGTACGTTGACCGTGACGGCAAGGACCAGGGAGTCAACGTGCGGGAGAAGGCCAAGCAGCTGGTGGCCCTCCTGAAAGACGACGAGCGCCTCAAAGAGGAGCGGGCCCACGCTCTCAAGACCAAGGAGAAGCTGGCCCAGACCGCCACTGGTGAGTGCTCGCTTCCATGCTGGCTGACTTGACCCAACTCACACCAACTAGGTCTGTTGTTCTCCATCCGTACGACACAGGAGTCCGTGGGCAGTCACTCGGGGAGATGCAAATGTTCCCCGGCCCCTTCACTTCCAGCATCTGGGTGCTGTTTGGGCTTCAGGACACTGTTCTCATTTGGTCTCTTAGAGCAGGGTTTGGTAACCGACAGCCCGGTGGGCCAATGGCACCTGCTTGGAGCACTTTGAAATAAAGATGGCTAACCTGCTTATATAAGTCCTTTTTTAATAGCACCCCTTTCTCTTAGAGTCTCAAGGCGGGTTACTAGGGTTGCCAGGTCTGCATTGGAAAATACCTGGAGCCGGGAGAGGGTGGGGTTTGGGGAGGGGAGGGGCCCCAGCATGGTACAGTGCCATAGAGTCCACCTTCCAAAGCCGCCATTTTCTCCAGGGGAGCTGATCTCTGTCAGCTGGAGATCAGCTGTAAAAGCGGGAGATCACCAGGCCCCACCTGGAGGCTGGCAACTCTACAGGTTACAGAATCAGAAAGCGGTGTGCAAAAATATCATATGACGTGCCAAACACTAGGTTGCAAAAATTAAAAACAACGCAGTTACAAGGTAGTACTTAAACAGTGCACGGAATCACAACCCTGCCCTCTTTATAAAAATGCCATCCTGAGCAATTCTGTTTTGCACATTTGGGGGAATGACAAGGTGGGGGGGGGGGACACTTGCAGCAGAGGACAGTCAAGTGCAGGCAGCTGTTGATCTCCCTGACTTGCTGAGTGGCACACGCAGGAGGTGCCGTGAGCAGTGTTCCCTCTAAGCTGAGTTAGTGTGAGCTAGCTCACAGTTTTTTAGCCTCCGGCTCGCACATTTTTGTCTTAGCTCAGGAAGGATGGCTCCAGAGCAAACTATTATATGCAGTAGCCAAATGGCTTGCTCACAACTTTAATGCCAGTAGCTCACCAAGTAGAATTTTTGCTCATAGGACTCCACAGCTTAGAGGGAACATTGGCCGTGAGACCTGCTGCTCACCGTTTTGTTTGTAGGAGGAGTCCTTGGCTAAAACACGAGTAGGCAGAAGGTCCCTGTTTCAGTCCCTGGTATCTTTATTTTTTTAAAGAAAACAACAACCTTGAATGGCAGAGCTAAAGACCTTTCTCTGCCTGATATTTTGGAGAGCTTCTACCAGTCAGAGAAGACATTACTGAGCTAGGTGGGCCAGTTACTCCGTGTTAAAGAAGCAGCCAAGAGCTTCCATTGTCGTGTCTTACAAGCGTCGTTCTGTTGCCTCTGGGAAACAAAAGACCACTGTCCATCTCCGTCTTGAGGAGGTCCTTGAAGAAGCACAGTCATTCCTCAGGCCTGCCCCCGAAGGAAAGACCTGGCAGCCTCTGAACACATTTATTCTGTATTTGCCAAGTTGTTGCTGTTCCTTAAGTTTAACTATTTATATGCTGCTTTTCTTCCAAGGTTTTTTTTTTTTGGGTGGGGGGTGGGGCTAGGCTGCTTACAATACAAAAATGGAATATATGCAAACAGGAGAGGGGGAGGAGGGTTTTGAGTCTCTCTCCCTCTCCTTGCCAGTTCTAGGCTATGATCCTCTAGCTAAGAGCCAAAGGCCAGGATCCTTCTGTCTCATGCCTGTGGGTCAGCTTAAGCTTTAAAACGGCTACTGCAAGGATGGAGGCTTCACTTCACTTAAAAACAGATGTGGACAGAATGTAGCGGGTGCAGAGGAGAGTGACGAGGGTGATTGGGGGCCTGGAGACCAAGCCCTGTGAGGAAAGGCTGAGGGACTTGGGAATGTCTGGAGAAGAGGAGGCGGGGGGGGGGAGTGATTGCTCTCTTGAAGTATCTGAAGGGCTGTCACTTAGAGGAGAGCAGGGAGCTGTTCCTGTTGGCAGCAGAGGAGAGGACTCGCAAGAATGGGTTAAAATTAAGGGCGGGAAGGTACCGGCTGGATATTAGGAAGAACGTCTTGACAGTAAGAGTTGTGCAACAGTGGAATCAGCTGCCTAGGGAGGTGGTAAGCCCCTCCTCCCTGGCAGTCTTGAAGCAGTGACTGGACAAACACTTGTCAAGGATGCTCTAGGCTGGTCCTGCATTGAGCACGGGGCTGGACTAGATGGCCCGTATGGACCATTCAGCTCTGTGATTCTCTGATTCCAGGCTTAACTGTAAGGCCTTATGGCAAATGGCTGGTGTTCCAGATTCCTCCCCACCTGTAGTGTCCTCCATGGAGACAGATCAAGATGGGTGACCGTGTTTGTCTGTCTGCAGCAGTAGAAAAAAGCCAGAGTCCAGTAACACCTGAAAGAGCAACAAAATTTGTGGCAGGGTAGGAGCTTTTGTGAATCACTCTTGTTCTGAAGAAGTCAGTAGTGACTCACGAAAGCTCCTACCCTGTCACAAATTTTGTTAGTCTCCAAGGTGCTACTGGACTCTGGATCTTTTCACCTATAATGGGTTGATCCCTGGACTCTAATATCAGGAGTGCAGACTTTGGCCATCCCTGCTTTAGAGAGCACCTGGTGATGATGCACGAAAGTCTTGATCTGTGCCTTGGGTGTGGCGGGTGGGGATTCTGAGCTGGGTCTGAAGATGCTTGAAAAATGGAGATCCGTTACTTTTGTCCTGTGGGGAAGCCCCTCCCTCCCATGGAAGCTCCTTTCCTGCCCTGACTTTGCCGAATTAAGGAATTTGCCGCCCGAGCCCGTGTCCTTTCCCCTGAAATCCAGCTTGCTCAAATATTGGGCACAGGTGCTCCTCCCCATTACACTTCAACTGCCCTGAGGAGATGCCGCCCCTCCCGCTGGCGCTTGGCAGGTCGCCATGCCAGAGGCTGAGTTACAGGCCTCCTTGATCTACTGGGCCCCTTTACTAGGTTGATAACCCCAAGGTCAGATTCCACCCTGTGTTGTTTGCAGAGCACCAGGTGAGCTAAGCGGGTGGGAGTTTGCTTTCGCTTTCTTTCAATGTTTGCAGAGCACCAGGTGAGCTAAGCGGCTTTCGCTTTCTTTCAGAGCTGCTCTGCAAAAAATACGGGGAACTCGTTAAACATTAGAGAGAAGCAGTAAAAAGAAATGGCAGGAGGGGAACTTGCACACCTCCCCAAATTCAGTGTTCCCTCTAAGCTGAGTTAGTGTGAGCTAGCTCACAGTTTTTGAGCCTCTGGCTCACACATTTTTGTCTTGGCTCAGGAAGGAGGGCTCCAGAGCAAACTAGTTTATCCAGCAGCCAAATCTCTTGCTCACAACTTTAATGCCAGTAGCTCACAAAGTAGAATTTTTGCTCACAAGACCCCACAGCTTAGAGGGAACATTGCTCCCCATCCCCATAACTGCTGGAAGGGCTGTAGATTGTCCCTTCTGTATCACTTTAGGTTTCATAGGCATTTTGAAAAGGTTTTTAACAATCCATTTCGAGCTATCCTGGCCCCTTCCGAGTCACTTGTTTTTCTGTGGGCCTTCCCAAATCAGCTGTTCAGCACGTACGCTGTTCTTGAGCCTCAATCCAAATGGTCTCTAAAAATTCATGATACTGTCATAGATGGCTCTAGTTCCAGACCAGGGCTGGAGCGGAAGACCCGGTCTCGGATCCCAGCTCTGCCTTGTAGCTGACCGGGTGACCTTGGGCCAGTTGCACTCTCAGCCTGACCTCCCTTGCAGGGCTGTTTGAAGCTGCAATTGAGGTAAGGGAAATCATGTTTATCGACCTGAGCTCCTTGCAGAAGTAGGGCTGAGGTTAGAATCACAGGAGAGAAAATAAAGTACAAAGGAGCATAGCTGGCACACCAAGCAGAGTTGGTGAAAGGTGCGGTGGGCCATGGAAATCGCCTGATAACTTCCTGATCTTTGGGCCCGAGTGCAACCATGTCAAAATAGGGTTGCCAACCTGCAGGTGAGGCCTGGAGGTCTTCTGGCATAACAACTGATCTCCAGACCACAGAAATAAGTTCCCCTGGAGAAAATGGCTGCGTTGGAAGGTGGGCTCTATGGCATCATACATGACTGAGGTACCTCTACCCTCTGGACCTTGATTCTCCCCTCCCCCATCAAGGACACAGGGCAAGGAAAGAGGCTTGGATGGAACCATAAAACCCTTTTGCCTTTTAGAAAAGCCAGTCATAGGAGCCTTTTCTGCGGTTTAGAATCTCTTCAGCAATGGCTCTTGCAGGTCTGGGGTGAAAGGAAAGCGCTGAACGGGTTTTGCCTCTCGAATGCGGCATGGAAACAGCAGCCAGTGAAAGGTGCCGATATCATCAATCAGAGACAACCTCACTGAAATCAGTCAAGAAAGTCAAGTCAGCCTCTTTTCGGCTCTCTGCTTTCTGTGGGCTTCTTAGGCTCAGCCAGTGCGGCACAAGAAGTGTGCCTCTCTGGTCTTGTGGAGGACTCTGCTCTATAGCGTGCCATTCTTTTCTTTGTACTTAATTAACAACCGCCAGGCGTCCTGGGCTGTGAGCTCGAATAGCCGGGTGGGTTCCCAAAAGGGCCTTATTGTGGCAGGTGGATGTTGGGCTTGGCTCATAACCAGCTATGATAGTATTGGGAACTTTTCTATTTGTCTTTTAAATTGTTATGTACTGATCGAAGACCGTAATAATAAACTGACTGACTGACTAGATGTTGGGTTAGTACCCAGTTGAGGAGCCCCTACAAAGTTGACGCCTCTTCACCCAGCTGTCCCCCTTCTCCCGAGCCATCACATTCCCTCTCCAATCTCCTTCCCTCACATACAAAAAAGAGAGAGATTGCCCCTTCATCTACTGCCAGTTCCAATCACTGTCGTTTCCAGCCAGCCATTTTGATGGGCCCTGAGCACTCTGTGGTTGCTAGGCAGTTGCTAGGCAACTGGAAGATCTTCTGGCTTTCAGGTTTGCTTGGAGATAGCCGAAGAGCATTTCCTTACTGTGGCCTTGGGCCTGTTAACTCCATCCCCTTCTTGCCCAGGCTCATCACATTGTTCAACATGGCTGTGAGGAAGCTTCTGGAAAAACAAAGACCCCAGAAACTGTGGCTAAGGGGCATGTCAGAGGCTTTCGAGACAAATGTCTCGTTTGTATACAAACCGGACTTCAGTGTTGAACACAAAAATTACATCAGGAGCAATTCATTATAATCCTGGGTAAATGGGTGGGTGGGGGTTGGGTTCAAGGTACGCTGCGGTGGAGATCCCAGCGCTGTTCTGGAATGTTCTCTGTGTGTTTTCTTGGATCAGTGTCCTTTGCCGAAGGAGAGCACAAATGTTTGAGTTGCACAAAAACTCTTCCCTTAAAAACTCAGAATCTCTCGTTCAGTTGCAAAATTCGGTACAAATAAATACGGGTTTGCGCCGGGCCAGGCATGAGTGTTGTGAAGTGAGGGTTCCCTGTAGGAATTCCCCCTCGGACAGAGGAACTGTGGGAGAATCACTCTTGTGTGTGTGGTGGGGAGAGGGGCTGCTGCACCCTCTGAATAAAACTTCTCTTTTAGGGTTTAGATCGCCACACCCTTTTTAGCCTCTCTGGGCCTTCTCTCTTGGTGAAAGAAGGGAAGATCCTGAGGGGACCCTGAAAATGGCAGGAAAAGGGCATTCCTCAGATTCCGTCCCCTCCCATCTTTTCAATGGCTGGCTTACCACCACCGCCACCCCATTACGGCCGTTTGTGCTGTTGCAGGCGTCCCTGTGCTAATGAGGGGTGACAGTTGGTGCCAGGCTGTCTAGGGTGGGGGCAGGGGGAGGAGGCTGT